CCCCAGGGTCATCAGTGGGAAGCCCCCACAGCTGAGATATCCCTCAGGAACTTCAGCTGCTGCCTGTGGGAGCCTGGGCAGCCCTCTTGTGCTGCCACACTTCCTACCAGTCTCTATGTGGGCTCCTCTGTATGTCCTTGGTTATGAGGGTTCTCTCCAGCTAGTCTTCAGCTGATTATTCAGGATGGTTTCTATTTTAGTTGTAATTCCAGTTTGATCCTGGGAGAGTGTCAGTGTAGCTTCCACTTAATCCGCTCCCATCTTGGAATGTTACCTAGAATGTTGACTTTAAATAAAGTAAAAATACATAAGAATACAAAGGATACCAATTATACTGAAATAGTTATCAAAATAGTTTTAGAATTTTTATGTGTGTGTGTATATATATGTGTATATTTATTAATATATTAAGTAAAATCCAGTGGTAGGTCGAAAAACCACCATGACCATCAATGGTATTTTGAGATAGCTGTAATAACTATGAAATCTCTGTGATTTCTATTGATGACAAAGTCACAGGTACTGCTAATACTTTTGCAGTTTGTTACCTACATTCTGAATTCTACCCACAAACTTTGGTTTTAAAATCACTGCCTTAGATACTGTTTGAATAATTTACTGTGCGTATTTTTCCCCAAAACTGTCATAATACACATTCAAACAAGAACCATTTTGTGGTTTTGGTGAGAAAGTGATGCACCACTGAATGATGGGGATACATTCTGAGAAATGCATTGTTAGGCAGTTTCATTGTTGAACCAACATCACAGTGTACTTACACAAACCTAGATGGTATGGTTACTACACACCTAGGCTGTATGGTATAGCCTATTGCTCCTAGGCTATACACATGTACAGCCTGTTACTGTACTGAATACTGTAGGCCACACATGGTAAATTATTTGTGTATCTAAAGATAGACATGGTGCCATAAAAATACAGTATAAAAGATAAAATGGTACACCTGTATGGGGCATGAATGAACTTGTAGGACTGGAAGTTGCCCTGGGTGAGTCAGTGAGTGAGTGGTGACTGAATGTGAAGGCCTAGGACATTATGCTACTGTAGACTTATAAACACTATACACTTAGGCTACACTAAATTTATATAACAATGCAAAATTAAGTGAAGCCAAAAAGAAAATGATGCAATCAAGAGATGTGGTAAACATGACACGTACAAGGCTGCTGCCAACATAACAACCTACTGTCTTACAGCAAACTTTTTTTATAAGTAGAAGAATTACACTCCAAAATAATGGTAAATAGTATAGTAAATAAATAAACCAGTAACATAATTATTTATATCATTATCAAAAATTGTGTATCATACATAATTGTATGTGCTATATGTTTTTATAGGACTGGCAGTGCAGGTTTATGCCACCATCACCACAAACATGTGAGGAATGTTTTATGCTACACCTGACTAGGCAATATGAATTTTTCAGTTCCATTATAATCTTATGGTATCATGTCATGTAGTCCATCATTGACTGAAACATGAGGTGCCTGACTGCACACCTAGGATTTAGGCCTCACTGTTCAATCAAATGGAAACCATTCCCTAAAGCCTCCCAGCTGGCAAATAAATTGTGTGGGGCTAGGGCCTTTTTTTAAAACATCAGCGGAAAGGAGACTTTATTAGCTCAATTTCCACACACATTCATATGCTTGATGGAAGGAACTGAAAAAACAAGACATAGTCCAATAGGGGAAGGGTGAGCTAGACTCAGATGTAGAGTAAGAATTTCTGAATCACAGTGTTACCACCAAGAATTTTTTAATGATATATATTCAATCCTAATACTCTCCTTAAAATATTAGTAATAATTTATTTTCATAGGAACAAAATTTTGTACTCAATAAATAACCTATTAAATTTCAGCTCATCTCTTTTTTTTCAAAAATATTTTGATTTTTAGAGGAAGGGAGATGGGGAGAGAGACAGAAACATCAAGGTGAAAGAGAAACATTGATCAGCTGCCTCCCACATGCACTCCTACCAGAGACTGAGCTCACAACCTGGGCATGTGCCTTGACCGGAAATCAAACTGGTAAACTTTCAGTGCATGGGACAATGTTCAACCAACTGAACCACACCAGCCAGGGCTCAGCTCATCTCTTTCAAACTTCTACCTGTATGTTAATATACATCATATATGAGAATAGTAGTGTCTGAATTGTTAAAGAGAAAACCACAGGCCCCAAATGGCATCACTTGGGCTAAAGCCCATGATACCAAACTTAGACTTAATATCTGACCTAACTGAAGTTTTGACCTTCACCAAAAATGTAATTTTAATCAACCAGACTGGAATTTTCTGGTCAACATCAATGAGATAATCTGTCACAAGGACCCTCTCCAACCTCCAAAGGAAGAAGAGACAATCTGCATAATAAAACCCTTGCCTTCCCCTTTCCCCCAAAAAATATGATGCCTTGGTCTAAAAATCCTTTTTTTCCATTTTGCTAATAATTCCCCTGCCCCACCATTCTTCCTATAAAAATATTCCATTTTGTACAATCTGAGTACCCTACTTGCTAGATGGGATGCTGCTTAATTCATGAATCACTTAAAAAGCAAATTAGCCTTAGCCCTAGCCAGCTTTGCTCAGTGGTTAGAGCATCGGCCTGTGGATCAAAGGGCTCCAGGTTCGATTCTGGCCAAGGGCATGTACTGTGGTTGCAGGCTTGGCCCAATGAGGGCTTGAGCAGGAGGCAACCAATCAATTTGTCTCTCTCACATCGATGTCT